ATCCTATAGTAAAGGCAAGCTAGGTTCATTCCTGTTTATGATTAAACCTGTTTCTCAAGGATTGGGCTCTGCTGTTCCAGGAATGGCAACCATGTCTTTGTTTCTGGAGGGACTAACTTGCTATGCCAATGTTTGGTTTCTGCTACCCCCACCTATCTTGTCCTCCAAATTTGAACCCCTACTCCTAGCTATAAAAGCCTTATCTTTCTCATATCCAATACTGACCTCTTGAACCCCCCGCAGGGGGAGGCAGGCTGTGTATGCAAATAAAAAAAAGCTTGCCTTAATTAATTTGGCCATGATGGTTTGAGTTAACAGTCTCCCCCCTCACACCTTTAGGATTAACACTCTCTGTTCCTTCCTGAGGGAAGAGCAACAGGCTCCCAGGACCTAGTGGCCACATCCTGAAATTTCAGACAGTTTTACTTGGCTTTGCATCTCAGGGGCTTGATGGGCTCCCTAACACTTATTATGTCTAGAGTGAGAATATTTAACACACCTATACTAAAAACAACAACTAAAGCCAGGCATAATGGCATGGCATCTGCTCGTGAGCTAAGCACAAGAAACTAAATGGAGCCAAATGGAGGAAGAGGTTCTTTGGTTTAAGGTGAGAGAATGAAGGGCCAGTGGGTAAAGTCTCTTGCTGCCAAGGCTGACAACCTTTGAGTCATGGGAATCACATGGTAGAAGTTGAAATCCTCAAGCTGTCCCTGCTCGCCACACCTTTGTACTTGTCTACACAGGTGCACGCACACACAAACTCAGGCACGTGCAGGCACATAAGTGCAGCAAATTAATGAATGTGATTTAAAACAAAAAAACCAATATACCATCTTCACTCCCTGATGGCACCTAAATGACTCCATGCTTGCTGGAGTTGGGCAATAGAAGGGCAGTGACTGTGTTCTGTTTATTCCAATGGTACAAGGATTCACATCATTCCAGCTGGAAATGGCGTGAGGCAACCCTGAGTGAGTAAGGAACTGAGAGTCATTCACTCTTGGTTTCAAGCCCCAGCAGGAGCTAGGAACAGCACTCGGAAAGAAACTGGGTAAACAAAGCCACTGCTAACAAGCAAAATGGTGCCCCTCCCCCAAGGCACGGGAGAGTGGAGCCAGAGAACAGAGCTGGGAACGAGGAAACTGGCAAGTGAAATAAACCAGGCAAGGACCCAGCAAACCAACAACGGGAATGAAAGTGAAAGCCAAAATGGAGGAGGGGTTCTTTTGTCTGACGCAGGAGAATGAAGGCAGTAACACTGGGAAAGTATTAAATCTAATTTAAACCAAACCTAAAAATGAGGTGGACAGATTATAAAAAAAGAAAATTTCCATTTTTATTGAAATACAAATTAGTAATGGCAGAAAAACCAGGCATACAGCCAGTGTTAGTTCAAAAGATGTCCCTTAGAAACAAAATATTATTACAAAAGGCATATGTAATTTACCAGGAAAAGGGCCACACAGATGTCAGGCAAATCAAAGTTAGGTAGAGGCACAGCAGAGTCAAGAGCTCTCTCTGGCTGTGCCAAGGAGGCTGACAGTGTCTCTTTCCTACCCTCTGGCTGTGCTGGAGGGGAGGTAATGTTTCTTTAAGTACCCCCTGTGTGCTGACATTGTTCTTTTGTTCCCATAGTCGGTCAATCTAAGTATAAGGAAACAGCTTTAAAAAACATTAATGTCATAATCTTCTGTTATGGCAGAACCACAGCTCCCAACTCAAAGTGGATAGGACATAGTTTATCCTGGAGTCAAATATGAGTGCCCATGACTAGGTGGCACAGATTTAGGTTATCCAAAATCCTATGTTCCAATATGGCAGTTTCATGAAGTTTTTGTAGTAGTAGTTAATATAGTTAATAGAGATCATGGTTCGATGGTTCAGCAAATCAAGGTACTTCCTGCCAAACCTGACAATCCCAGTTTGATCCCTGTGACCCTTGTGGGAAAAGAGCACCACTAAATGCATAGGAAAATGAATAAATAATTTTCCCCCAAAAGACACTTCTCAAACCCACTGGTAGAGACATCCAAGAAGCAGGCTGCAGAAAAGTAAGGAAACCTTTGCTATAGGCTCAGATGTTATCTGAGGACACTTTTAGCTCTTGGTCGGTGGAAGATATTGAAAGACCCTACAGACCCCCTCCTCAAAACCCGCAGCAGCCAGCCTGCTTGAGAGAGCAGGATGAGATAGGAAGACTGCAAGGCAGGATATCAGTAAGATAGGACATCAACAAAGCAGGTTGACTGCAAAACAGGATATCTATATAGGAACAGGATGACTTTTGCTGACACCCATGCTGAGAGAGGAAACCATTCATGCCCCCGCCTCATTCCGATAACCACGCTTTTGCTTCTGTAAACTTGCTTTTTGCTCTTCCCTATTTA